ATTATTATTATTATTATTATTATTATTATTATTATTATTATTATTATTATTATTATTATTATTATTATTATTATTATTATTATTATTATTATTATTATTATTATTATTATTATTGATTATTATTATTATTATTATCATCATTATTGTTATTATCGTTATTATTATTATTATTGTTATTATTGTTAATTATTATAAAACAGTGAAATGGTTGTTTTCTAACGGAAATGCCAAAATGCTTCTATTTATGTCCCAAAATATTCCATAGATTTCAAACTCGTTAATATTAGTCAATTCAAAAAAACACTTATGAATAAATCTGCATAAAATTGACCATCGTCAGGTAAGGTAAGACTTCAGACTCTCCAGGTTATTTCCATTTTCCTGCGATGTATTTTTGCAAGATTTTTGCTTTTTAATATTGTTATCTTTTTAAATACCTTTGCTCTCCTTATGTACCAGTAAGTTTGACCTTCTGTATAGTATGATTAAAGTCACATATGACTCCAGATTTGATCTTCCTAACAGTATGATTGGAGTCATATGAATATGACTCCAATCATATTCATATGATTCCAATCATACTGTTAGGAAGATCAAATTCAGCAGTTTCATCCCTCTTCACTAAACTTTCTTTATTAAGCGGTAATCGGCATTATTAATTGAATCATATTTGTGTCCTTTGACTCTTTGACTTATTTCATACTGCTAATGCATAAGGCGTACTTTCTTCATGCTACATAAAACATTATTATGAAATTTAATTCTTAGATCAATGTCAAAGAATTTTTTTAGATCTTCTTGCTAATGCATAATTTCTCGATCATTTTTTCCTAACTCATTTGCTAATAGTATTTATATTTTACATTTTCTTATATTCAAACTGAATTCAATTCACTTTAAAAAAGGCCAATTAAGAGGTACTTGGGAATAATACAGTACCTCTTGGATAATTTTCAACAGGATGTGATAAGTTGAAATAGATAATCATAACCATTCCGAATGAAGCAGTCTATAAATATTGATTCTTATTATAGTTATTTTCATAGAATTAAGATAGCTTGTTGAAATTTCGCAACTATTGTTGTAGTGTTACAAAATGAAAGAATGGCGGTGTTGACTTTTATTTTAAAAGGAATTCTAGTAGCTAGCTCAAATTAAGATAGCTACTACTTTAATTATTCTAAAAATTTACCTGAACAAGCGCAACAATACCCGCCACTGGAATGAAAGCATTTAGATCATCATATGGCTGATACACTTTAAAAGAATATACATTAATCGTTGCCACAATGACTCCAGCAGCCGATGCCACGTTGTAAATGGCTGTACACAATCCGAGGTCTGGAAAACAGTGCTACTAAATTATATTTTAAAAATCAGGATAGATGATAAAGAAAATGTCATCATGAAGTGATGCTAATCCTCCCATGCAATCAGACGTTTGCTGGAATTTATCAGCAAATCGCGGAGTTTATCAATAGTTGATTAGAAAAAATGTTGAATTCAAAAAGTTCTAAGCAAAATAAAGGACAGCTAGAAAAAGAAATCGAAATGATACTTTGACTTCTCGTCAGGGCTGCAAATATACCAGCGGCAGCACCAACCAATGGTATCAATGCCAAAAGAAGAAAAACCAAACCAGCTTGAATCTGGGCATTATTGACAATCTACAACATCTCAGTTTATTCTTTAAATTTCTTCGAATTAGTCAAATTTACATTAAATATTGCCTCCATCTTCAAACTTCATATCATAAGAACGAAGTAGGCAAAATGCAAAATTTTCACTCGGATAGAAATTCCTACGAAAATGAAACTGAACTCAGTTGATTTTTTTGACCTGATAAATGCAAAAGCCAATACAGATCACTGCAAGAGCTATCTGTAGTCCAAAACAGATCAACGATATAATGAAAAATATATCTGTTCTTTGTGGAGCTCGCATTTCTCTATTCTCCCGCTGCTTTGCTCTAACAGATTGTACTTTCTGGAAAATGCGATTTAATGAGGATTCTCAGAAGACATACTTCAATTTTTATCAATCGCAAACTAAATATTACGAATTACTTATTATTAAGATTAATGTTACCGCTCTTTTAATTTGTCGATTAGCTTCACTCTCGTTCAAACCACCGATATTGATCATCTCCCATCGTTTCTTATCTTCATCCTCCCAGTATTCGATTCCTTGTGGAACCGGTATGTGGTAGACATTTCGATATTCCCAGTATTTCTTCTGCTCTAAATTCTGCTCCGGTGCACGAATATCTAATCTATGTTCCCAAATGTTTTGCCGTTCACTCGTAGAACGATTAGTTGGTGAGCTGATTTGTGGACTAGGAACATTAATGGAGGACGAAAGAGCGCTCTTCTGCTTGATACTGCTTTCTAGATTCACATCTCCTGTCAAGCTTTCTTCTTGCGCTTAACTAACTTTTATTTGATCTCAATGAACAAACTTTTCTCGGAGATAATATGTCATCAAAGATATACAAATCAATTCATGCAGACTGTTGCTGTTTACCATCAACAATCAAGCCTTAGCAAAGAGAATTTATGGGTAGTAATCTTTACAGTAATCAGTTGTTTTTCATACAATACAAATCTTGTAAGTATGCATACTGACCTTCCTAAGCAGAAAAGTTCTCTCAATTTTGCTAGAATTTCTTTTACTTCATCTTACTTTAATTTTTTTCTTTCCATTTCCCTAACGAAAGAATCAATCATCACTTCAAAAATCTACTAGGCAGTGAGCCTAAGAAACGATTAAGGAAGTAAACCCAAATAAATGAAACCATCGAAATGATGGGGGTGAAAGGGTGTTATCAATAAATGATTAATCTGTCTCCAAATGACATAAAACAACCGACCTACCTGTCATTTCTCGTCAACCGTTTAACAATGTGAACACTTCAAAAATCTCACAGTTTTTATATTCCATAATATTATGTTTGATGACAACTAAGTATAATAAATGATAAAAATAAAATTCTAAAAAAGTAAAAATGAAATTCACAATAAATGAATATATATTACAATTTAACCATGCAGGATAGATGGTTGGTTATCATCGATTTGAATCAAAAATTGCTCTCTTGTCTTGTTTACTGAAAACTTTTTTTCCTTTCTCATCGTTGTTGTGATATATATATATATATATATGGGAGATTGCAAGGATGTACACATACCTTAGACGAATGTTAATATTACTACCAGTAATTAATCTAAGATGGTTACTCAGATCAAAGAAAAAAGATGGGATACTATGACCCCAATCTTCATTAATACTCGATCTTGGTGATTCTGATGGAAATACTGATAATGATATGATTAACTGGGATCATAAAAGAATACATCTGAGTTGTTGACAAAATACTCATTAACGGATGGTTTTAATTTAGAGATGATCACAAACGTATCCTTTAAATATCCAATAGATGATAATTTAGACGTAAAGTCATCTGAAGGAAAATGGAATTGGGAGCTATCTTTTCAGTTAAGCCATCTATTCAACAAATTTACCTATTGAAAAGATCATTAAAACATTAAGTTGATTTAGGAAATAATTTGTATTCATCAAAAGGCAAACAACAAATTCAGAATCAGAAAAGAAGTTAAAATAATAAATCTCCGCAGAAATTGAGAAATCCCGACGTATATTACATATTTTCGATATATATTACGTATTTTCGAGTATATTATATACGACGGAATGTGTAAAGATGGCGTCATTCTAAAGGGAAAGCGGATTCTGTCTCATTCAACATTTGAATCAGGTTGTCTACTGATTTGGTAGAAATGATAGTAACCTCTCTTCATTTTATCTGGATTCCTAGGTCATTTCTAGTATGCTTAAAATTGTTTATAAGCCATAATGATTTCCTGAACCAAAAAAATATTTCCAAAGGAATTCACTACCATTGTACTGGCAATTCTCGCAATATCAATCTTTCATATCTCTCTCTCTCTCTCCGTCTATCTCTCTTCAGAATTTGATTTTTAATACATTTGAATCATTTTTAGGCAATGAAATGCCGCCATGTGTAATTGTAAAAGCATCAAATGATGCCTTTATTTCGGTTGGTCACTTTATCTGATTAAAACGGAACGATGGGATGTACTGCAAGTAAAAGTAATGGAAAGAGTTATCAGAACCACTTTGTGATCAGCATTTCATGTACCTATCAGTAGTAGGACAAAAAGAATAACTTCCAGTCTGAACTGGAATGTATGTACTGGTAGAACGATCGATGAACTATTTGAAAGTACTGTGAGCGAACCTCTGAAGGCTTTAGAAAATGTTTTCATCGGTCTTGACAGAATCGATCCTAAACTTTGACTCCATTACACTATTTGAGTTTCCCTTTGAATTTCATTCTATTGGAGCATACAATTTTTGATACAAAGCGATTATTCAGTTATTCAATTTATCGATGTCTTTTTAAACCGTCGATGGAATTGAAATTCTCTCCATGTAACATTGAAAGCATATTTTCGGTCCTTCTAATGTATAATTTTTGTATTTTATGCATTGCCAATGAAAATTTTAATTCGATCGAATATATATGTGGGAACATTTCAGCCTTATAGGCAAGTATAACACATGATTTTATGCATATAATCACTGGACAAAGGAAAACAAAAGTAACCAACAAAGCCTATAGTTAAGTAACAGATAGCTGAATGAACAGACTATTATCTGAAAAAGATTTTAAAAATTGTGCATAGAGTTGGAACTGAATGAAATTTTGAAACAGATGAGAAACGAGCAAATATTTCCAAAATATTTCTTTAATTACCTTTACAAAGTGGATAGAAATCAGTATATCTGAATTTGATGGTACTTCTTTGCATTTCGTTTATTGTTCACTCAAAAATTCCAATTCTCTAATTTATTTTTAAAAACAAAATTTCTGGTTCCATTAAAATAGTTATTATGAAGCACACATCTCTTCATGACCAATATTTTTATTAGATGCGACAAGAAAAGATATTTCGCCACAAATGATTTTACTCAACTTTATAGTTGTTGACTTAATTTAGTATATGTATGAAGTGAATAATTGCATACTAACTCAATTCATGTACTTTGAAATTTTTTCAATGAAACAGAAGAAAATGTATTATGTTATCCTTACAGTTCTTGTTTAATCCCTATTTTTTTCGGGAAAATCATATTAAATGCAATATCAATGTGATACTGCTTCAACATGCAGTCAAAACGCTACTAGAGTTGTCAATAAAATAAATTTGTTTAACTTTGTTTAACTAATTTCTCAAACAAACTTTTTGCTAATGGTGCAAAGATTAAGCTACTTTATTTGTTTCTGCTTTTATTTTTAAGGTCAGAATAAGTTCGAAGGACTGTTGCACAGAGTACTTCAATATCATCACATGGGTATGATTATTTTAGTTTGTTTTTTCACTTTCATCATATCTTAAAACAAGAAAATGTGAAAAAGCTCGCAGATCAGGAATAGAGAAATTTTTGAAGATAAAACAAAAAGACTCGATAATTTCGTCAATAAACTTCGAACTGAGCAATTTTAATCAAAAGAAAAACAAGAAAAAGGTAATCCTAGGAAGAATGCTTGATTTTTTTTGATGAATTGGAGCATAAAATAAACAAATCTGGCAATTCCTAGAAAAATATCAGGACCCTTCGCTTCCTTGAGCTTTCCGAACAGAGAAATTATTGATTCATTACTATTCCTTTCGATTTCAGTGACAATACTATTGTTTTAAAATGAGAATTGTTCTTAAAAGCTTCAAATGATTGAAAGTTCCATTTATAAAAGTTAGTTTATGGATGACCATTACGCATCTTTCGGGCACTTGGATAGCAATGTGCGTCCAAATACGACTTTTGCTATTTAATCATTTTATTGATTCCCATTTTCATACCCTGTTTGTTATGAAGTAACTTATGGAAATTCCTCCTTTGTTTCAAATTTGCTCATAGTGAAGTTTGGGAATTCGCCTTATAATGGGAAAATTCGTAACAATAAACGAGAAGTTACCGTCCGGAATGCGATATTATCTTACATGAATCATCATCTCCTCTTCACTACTGATAATGTCTGATAAAACAAGCATATGGTCGTTCTAATTAGAAATAAAACTATAAAAAGGAAAGAATTGTTCACTTCTATTGCAGTTCTGGCATGTTCGGATTTAATCCTTCTATTAGCAACATTTTATACTTTTTGGGTCAAACGAGTAGTCCATGACCAACTCAATCAAATTTATGTTCAGAGGATTTTAACCGGTTCGACACTTCAGAATAGCACTACTGAAATTTAAACTATAATTTTGATGTAGTAATTTTAGTGCACTTGAAAATCTAAAAGATCTTAGAAAATTTATCTCAAAGTTATCCTGAATATGGGTTATTTATGAATTTCTTTTTTTTTCCTTGAAAGTCAATACAAACAGGTGAGTTCTGCATCCAAATCAAAGGTGATGATGTATTAATCTATCTTAAAATAAAACACTATGAAATGAAAACAGATATGATAAGATGAAGGATTATAAGGTAGGAATTCGCAATCAAAATTATCAATTCTTCAGATGATTGCGCAATATATGCAATCTCGCTGGGCGCTACTAACTTCACCAAAGCCTTTTTGTTTTTCTTGTAATTACTTATACGTACCAATTTGTTTTCACTTTTTTTTTCTTTTTTTTTTGTATATGAAAGGAAAAGGAAGTAGAAGGTTTAGTGATAAAAGAAAAGAGTGATGTGCTGAATATACATTTATGATAAAGTTTCCTTTTAGTCTTTCTGTTGCAGTATTTATCATTACCTGACAGAAGTTAACAATGAAAAGCAAATGGTGACATTCTCTGGAGAAAACAATTAATGTAAACAATTTTCTAAGGAAACTTTCCAATAGTTTTAATGAACTGATAACTACATAATCTCATTTGTTCTAAGTTGTGATAATTTCTTCTGTTGAATTGTAAACGTGTACGGCTAATTCATGGGTGAATTATTCCGTCCAACTCGGATTGTAGGTTGTTTCAGTTTATTATAGATATTTTACAGCGAGTCCTTAATTCATAGTATAATCTTAATTGTCAACAACATCAAATGGTTGTTTAATGAGACTTGCAATGATAGCAATTATCTTTTTGGTAAACTTACTAATTACCCTTTTTAGAATGCAATTTTTTCATTTTGACATTAGTTATTATTTCTGAATGCTTCAACATGTTTAGCGCTCGGAATAATTTTCGCTTATCTTCAGATCATTGTAGCAAATAATCTTTCTAAAAGACATTGCTTAAATTTTCTTAGCAACAGGTATCTTGAAGGTAAATGAGATAATTTTTGATAACTGTGATACCAATTTTTATTACTTAACGGTCAAAAGTATTCCAAGCTCTAATTTCTATCAGCAGATCTCTCATTGCCATATGCAATGATAAGGGGAAGTGATATTATGGCCAAATCCTACATAGAATACTTAAGTTATTCTTCCATATTCTATGTTACTATACTCTCTGTTTATCTCTAACGATATACGAACCCTCGCAAAAAGTACTGGAGAAGACTGATCATGCTTTATCAATTGATTTTAAAATTTCATTAATTAATTAATTCATTTTGTCGTTAGCATAAATATTTGAATATGAAAATATAAAAACTGGACATGAAAACAAATATTTAAATATAAAAACCTTAATCGGAAATTATTAAATTTAATAATGTACCAGAATTGTTACTAAAAAATAAAATAATAGAAAAAAATAAGAAAAAAGTAGTAAAAAACAAAAATAAAAAAATAGTAAAAAAATAAAAATAAATAAAACAATTAGTAAAAGACAACTAAAAAAGTAAAATTTACAATTTTTTAAAG